TGCACCCCGAGCTCTCACTGACCTGTTTGCTGGGTGTAGAAGAAGCGTGAACATATAAATATGAGAAAGCAAGATCTGACAGCAAAGGATGAGTCTTGTGTTGGTTCCACCACCAGCAGCAGGTCCTCAGACAAAACAGCTGGTGGAATGTTCTGGTACATCTGCAGCCCTCTCTCCACTTGTTTCTTCATGGACATGGAGCTGTGACATTATGTTCGGTGCCTCTTCCTCAGCAAAAAGCTCCTCCAGTGGAGACTTTCTGGACAGACTGCAGGGAGGCGGTTCCTAAACAAACAGGTTCATCAGTATTATCAGTAAAAAGGGATCATTAAAGGCATGATGAGGGGCGGCCGTGGTGCAGTGGTAGTGGCAGCCGACCTCTGATCGGAAGGTTGGAGGTTCGAATCCCGACTTCCCACACCATGTGCCGTTGTGTCCCTGGGCAAGACACTTAACCCCGAGTTGCTCCCGGTGGGACTGGATGGCGCCTTGCATGGCAGCCTACCGCCACCGGTGTATGAATGTGTGTGTGAATGGGTGGATGGCTGGTACTGTAAAGCGCCTTGGGGCCCCTCATAGGGGGCTGGAAGGCGCTATAGAAGTAAGCTCCATTTACCATTTACCATGATCATTATTAAGGTTGAGAATCTATATAATTTCAGCTATCATACACTTACACTCTCATCCTCCACTCCATCATTCTCAGGCCTTTCCTCAGACTGCATGGTGACCCCATCATCTCCACAGTCTTCCTCTGTTGACAACAAAGAACAGTACCAGTATTTAGATTTCACATTTTAATAGCAGAAAAGGACAGTTGTGCATGAATGACATTTCACCTGCTCAATCAGCTTTCTCTGGATCTGCTCCCAGACACGTCATCCATCTTCTGTTTAAAGCGCAGAGCAGCTCTTCTCCACCTTATAACAAGATGGGATTAATTTATTTGACAAGTGGTCCATGGTAGGTGGTGTGTACTTGGGTTGATGGTTTTCACCATGTTCCTGCAAACATGGAAACAAACATGTAATGTCCCTGTTACTGTAACGTTAGCTTAGGATGGACTATTAATTAGCTCTATTGTTGTTGCCTAACTAACCTAAATGTTGGTGATTCCACATCTGAAAAGGGATGCAACCTTTTCACAATATACGCTGTGAGCGTTCTGTGGCACTCTTCATTCAATTAGTTGCACCGATGTATTTCCCTTGGACGCTATGGTGAACGGAGGAGCACTTTGTGGAGCCTGGCTAACATTATTAGCTATTTCAGGTTGTTTGTCTATGAAAAAAATACGAGCTAACGTTAGCATGGTGTTTGTATTTTAGTTGCCCTACCGCTTTAAGTCAAGTTTAACTTGTTAGCTGCCTTAATGTTGATGAATTACTTGATAATGTTGGTATGAGACGTAGTTCATAGTTTTCCTTACCTGATTCTGAGGATCGGAGCCGTAGGAGGAGGCAGCAAAAATAGACTGGCGGAGCGCGTCAAAGACGGTGTGTTGGTCGTGCACTCTCCTTTGCACGATATAAAATTATTGCAAGTGCTGCACTGAGCCGACTGGTTATTTATTTTATTAAAGTTAAGCCACGCTTTCGATAGCGGCCGCTCACTGTCCATACGCGCACACACTTCCTGTGGATTCTTCTTCGTTGGTGTTCAGGGGGCGGCTTCTTCTTCCGGTCGGCAGACTAGACATCGAAAGTAGGAATCGAAAATAAATAATTTGAACGATTCCGGGAGAACCGGAACATTAGTCCCGGATCCCAACGATTCTCAAGACTCGATGCCCAACCCTACTTTTAACTGTATCCCGTACTATCCCAATCACGTGAGTAATATTGAGCCATTTACATATACAAACCGGATTCCAAAAAGGTTGGGACACTAAACAAATTGTGAATAAAAACTGAATGCAATGATGCAACAGACGTCTGGGGACAGAGGAGACCAGTTTCTCAAGTTTAGAAATAGGAATGCTCTCCCATTCATGTCTAATACAGGCCTCTAACTGTTCAATCGTCTTGGGCCTTCTTTGTCACACCTCCCTCTTTATGATGCGCCAAATGTTCTCTATAGGTGAAAGATATGAACTGCAGGCCATTTCAGTACCCGGATCCTTCTCCTACGTAGCCATGATGTTGTGATTGCTGCAGAATGTGGTCTGGCATTATCGTGTTGAAAAATGCAGGGTCTTCCCTGAAAGAGATGACGTCTAGATGGGAGCATATGTTGTTCTAGAACCTGAACATAGTTCTCTGCATTAATGGTGCCTTTCCAGACATGCAAGCTGCCCATGCCACAAGCGCTCATGCAACCCCATACCATCAGTGATGCAGGCTTCTGAACGGAGCGTTGATAACAACTTGGGCTATCCTTGTCCTCTCTGGTCCAGATGACATGGCGTCCCAGTGTTCCATAAAGAACTTCAAATCGTGACTCATCTGACCACAGAACAGTCTTCCATTTTGCCACATTCCATTTTAAATGACCCCTGGCCCAGTGCAAACGTCTGAGCTTGTGGAGCTTGCTTAGAAATGGCTTCCTCTTTGCACTGTAGAGTTTCAGCTGGCAACGGCGAATGGCACAGTGGATTGTGTTCACTGACCATGCTTTCTGGAAGTATTCCTGAGCCCATTCTGTTATTTCCTTGACAGTGGCATTCCTGTTTGAGGTGCGGTGACGTTTAAGGGCCCGGAGATCACGAGCATCCAGTAGAGTTTTACGGCCTTGACCCTTACACACAGCAAATGTTCCAGATTCTCTGAATCTTTTGTTGATGTTATGCACGGTTGATGATGATAACTTAAAAGTCTTTGCTATTTTACGCTGGGTAACACCATTCTGGTATTGCTGCACTATCTTTCTGCGCAACAATGGTGGAATTGTTGATCCTCTTACCATCTTTGCTTCTGAGAGACACTGACACTCTGAGAAGCTCTTTTTATACCCAATCATGTTGTCAATTGACCTAATTAGTGTTAATTGGTCTTCCAGCTGTTCGTTATATGCTCAATTTCCTTTTTTCCAGCCACTTATTGCTACTTGTCCCAACTTTTTTGGGATTTGTTGACACTGTGAAATTTTGAATCAACATATTTTTCCTTTAAAATGTTACATTTACTCAGATTAAACTTTTGATCTGTCATCTATGTTATATTACGAATAAAATATTGACATTTCCCATCTCCACATCATTGCATTCAGTTTTTATTCACAATTTGTTTAGTGTCCAAACTTTTTTGGAATCCGGTTTGTGTATGTAATTTATCATTCTCAACAGGAATATTTCCAAACAACATGAAAATAGCCAAGCTAATTCCTCGTTTTAAAAATGGTGAGAAACGTGTGTTTAACAATTACAGACCAATATCCTTGTTGCCACCGTAAGAATTATCACTGGAAAAGATTATAGCCATCCATCAAATACATTGGTTTATCAACTGAAAATATTAAAATTATATGACTTGGTTGATTATAATATTTTACTGTTTATGTATAAGACTCACAAAAGCATACTACTTTCTAATATCTAAGTAAATTTTGTTAAAAGGGAGAGTGGTTATTATCTTAAGGGGATGGAGATGTTTGTGAAGTGTTGGTTTCATACCAGTTTGAAGGAGCGATCTACTATAATTCAGGGAATAGGAATGGTCTGAAGGATGATGTTAAAACTGCCAGATCTTTGTACATATTCAAGTTAAAAGTTAAGTTTCTGAAGTAATATGGAAAAGTATCATGTGTATCTATACAAATAGTTGTTTGAGTTGATGTGGATTTATTTAGCTTTTTGGTTTTTTTGTAAATTACTTTTGTTTGAATATATTCTGGGAAAAAAGGGGCAAATATCATAAGATTTATTCTTCGTCTGTTGCCTTTCATTTAATTTTTTGATTGTATATATATATATATATATATATATATATATTATTTTTTTTGTATTGTATATAGTTATTTTGTTTTTATTTAAATGAATAAATTTCTAATATATATATATATATATATATATATATATATATATATTAAAGTTGACAATCACGTGCAGTCTTTTTATTTTTTTGTCATGTACAATTTTACTTTGAAAAATCGCGAAAGAGCAAGTCCGCAAAAGTCGAATTGCAAAGTAGCGAATACCCGCCTGTGACAGGTCGTATAAAAAGGGAAAAATAATATATATTAATAAAACGTAGATAGCAGAAGAAAAAACTCCTGCCTGAAATGTGAATCCAGCTGAACATTTTATTCCTGATACTGATATCAGACTATTGTCAGTGATATTTCATGTTACAAAGTAATTTGACATATTTTATTTAAAAAAAAGTGTTTTTTAACCTTCTGAGTAACTTTAACATTTATTCTTTAATAGTGAATTTGAAGATGTGAGGTTTGAGGCAGCAGTAAAACATGTTCAGTTTACAGTAAAAACAAGTCTTTGGCTTAAAGTCAGGTGCGCCAAGAAATACCAGGCCTTCTTTCTTGGTCTGGACTTTGGTGCATCGGTGACACGTTAACATTAACAAAACCCTGACGTGGATTTACTCTCTGCCCTGCTGCAGAGCCCGGGAGGCTCTTACTGTCTTTTTGACATTTGAGCTACGCAGCAGCTGAAAGAAGCAGCGGCGAGCGCTTGCCAAGAGGAGACGACACGCAGCTCAACCCCTCAGCTCCTGCGAACAAATAATTCATAACTTTAACATTTACTTTGTTCAAACGCCGCCCGAGTTTTTATCTGTGAACCTCAAAGTACGTCTGAGCTGAACGCAACACAAGCGAGAACAAAGGTTCGCAAGGCTTTTCAAGGTTTAAGGTTTAATTTAAACTGCTCTGGGAAAAATGACGCAAAGTTTAGGCTCTTTAATTTAATATCAAGCTTATTCTTTTTATAGTACAATTTTTTTTAATTCAACATAAAATATTTTTAAATAAAAAAAAAAAAAGATTGAAAAATAAAAATCATGTCAAAGAATATCAACTTAAAAACATAAGCTGAACTTAAATTATCAAGAAGGATCTCGTCGAAAGACGACGTTCTTTGTCTTGGGAGGTCGAGTGGACGGTCGGAGGTCATTTGGTCCATGGGCGTAGGCGCAGTTTTGGGCCAGCAGGGGGCAGCCCTGAGGGTGGTGGCTGTAAAACCAACACAGACGGGTTTTTAGGGCACCGGGGGCGATGGGTTTTCTCTGGGTTTTCATCCCGGAGGACTTCTTTTCCCGCCAGTCTCTTATGTAGACTCTCCCTCCTTCTACTAAAAAAAAAAGAACGAGACAGGAACATATCGGATCTTTGAATGTAAAAATATCCCCCCCCCCAATCCCAAAAAAAAGGTTATTTTAAAATGGAGCAGAATAATATTAATAAAAACTAAAGTAGAACTATGTATACCAGAAGATGACTAACGACCTAACAAATCTCCTGAACTTATTTTCTAACTTTTTTTGGTTTTTGGTGCCACCCCAGGATTCTCCGTAGTTTAGCAACTTCTCTGTAAACATTCGAGCTCCGGGGCTTCAGCGATGTCTTCTTCTTTTTCAATCCGAAGAAAGCAGCCTGATTTTGGTCAGCCGCGCTCAGTCTGTCCCTCCTCAGAGACGGGCAGATTGAGAGGAGTGGATTGGACGCTGCTGGCTGGGGTCGAGTTGCCTGTTTCGGGTTTAGCGAGAGTAGTGCCCCGCTGAAGCCACGGAGCTCGAATGTCCAACGTAAAACTAACTTTACTGCAGTTTAATGTGTCGCTATGGCTCTGCAGACATTGCATGTTGCTGTCTAGCTTTGTGGTGTTTCTAGTGTAAAATACTTCCACACAGCGGACATGTTTCGATGAAAAGTTTGTTAGCCGTTAGCCACAGTGCTGCTAACTCAGTCCTCACGTTGTAGCTGGCTGCAAACTATGAAATGGATTTCCTGAATGTGAGGCGGGTCTTATTATTCTGGGTTTATGAGACACGACTCCGTTCAGGAAATCCATTCCATAGTTTGAAGCCAACACGCATCATGGATCGGAAATATCAGCAGGTGGATTGGAAAAATCTGATACACAAATTATGCTGGTATCGGAGGCCGATACCGGATCGGATCGGCCCTATCCATAATTAAAACACTTCTGGAGGCTCCACTGCCCATGTGAAACCAAATACAATAAATGTATTTTCTTTAGATACCATATAATTTATATCACATCCACTTTTTGCTCAGTCATAAACATTTATAAAAGAAAGTCCTAATCCTATTTCTTATTTATTCCTCATTTGGCCAAGCTGTAATGGTGTAGTGACGTGTGCAAACTACCTCGAAAGACTTGGTGGTTGTTCTTGAGAAGCGTCTGAAGGCCTCCGCATTCTTTCTTCAGGAACCGCAGGGTTTCCTGCTCCAACAACCCGGCCACTTCGCTTACAGAGAGGCTGCCTGAAAAGGGGAAGACAAAGGTAAAAGCTATCGGAGACAAAAGAGCGGGAGGTCGGCTATAGATGTTACAACCATCAGTATGTTAACACGTGTCTTTCAGCGCACACAGGAATCCTTTAGAGCCAAAGAAATGAAGCGCTGGATGGGGCTGGATGGGGCTGGCTGGTTTGAGTCGAAGCCGCCTGCAGCTGTGAGAGCTTCTGTTGAAAAAGGCCTCTGTGTGAGAGTGATCGATGCTGTATTCAGACCATTCAGACCATTTTACGAGCAGAAATGAAAAAACAAACTGGGTCGATGTCTGTTTATCAAGGCTGTGCTGTTCAAGCTGCTCCAACAAGCTGTCACAGCAACCAGCTGGAATTCCACCGCTGCCTCTCCCCGTTGGTCGTTTCAGAGGGTGACTCATTGTTGTGGTCCCGTTTTTTTTGTTGTTGTTTGTTTTACTAGGTCACAAATTTTAAACACAGTCAACAAACATAAAGGGCAACGCAGAAGACAGAAGTTTCAGCTCCCGGGTTCCACAGATAAGCACTTGGCTGTTGGCTCAGTTCATTTTTTTGGGCCTTGCCCTTTTCCCACCACGAGCAGAATTCAATCAGAGCTGACCTTTGGTTTACACAAATGAAAATTCCTCCTTCTGTTTTCTCAGGCAAACTCCAGGGTGAGACATTCATTTCTATTGGTACTTGTACTTTTTCATAAGTATTGGTACATTTGACCTCAATCTGCAGGAAAAATTAACGCAGTCTTCTTTACAGTACCAAATTACCTGTAGGCACTTCAGACACCCCCTGCTGAGATTACAGAACATCATAAAATCTCACCTCTTTCTTTAATAAAACTAAGCAGGTCAGTTCACAATTGTACTTGTACTCCTAGACTTTACTGCAGCTTATGATACTACTGACTGCAGTATTCTTATATCGAGGTAAGAAAACTGAGTTGGAATTACAGGTGCAGCATTAAATTGGTTCAGTTCGTACCTGAGAGACGAAGTCTTTTGTGTTAGCGACGGAAACTTTTTATCCACTTCCGCACCCCTTTCCTGTGGGGTTCCACAAGGCTCTGTTCTTGGGCCACTTCTATTTTCACTGTACCTGCTCCCTTTGGTGTTTATTCTAAGGAAGCCAAGTCTTTCTTTTCTTTGTTATGTTGATGACTGCCAGATTTATCTACTCTAAAACCAAATAATTATTGCTCCATCCACCTTCTATTAAAATGTAATTAAGTCTTGGATGGATTCAGTTTTCTAAAGTTTTAATGATTAGAAAGCTGAAGTTATTGTGTCAGTCTTAGCTCTACAGCTGTCTATCCCTTTCTGCTAACCTTGGCTCTCTGGACCTGTATCTTAAGCAGTCCGTTATGAATCTATGGATGATTTTATACTCTGAGTTTAAATTTAATAAGCAGATTAACTCTGTTCTGAAGAAAAGCTTCTTCCAGTGAAGGAAGATAGCTAAGCTTAAGTAAGTGTTGACCAGACCTGACCTGGAAAATAGTCCATGCCTTCAATACAACCCGACTTGATTACTGTAATGGACTTCATGTTGAGGTCAGTCAGGTCTCCCTTTCACGTCTCCAGCTTGTCCAAAATACTGCAGCTCATCTCTAAACTGGAACTCGTAGGTTTGAGTCCACCAGACTAGTCCTTACTTCAATGGCTTCCTGTGTGCCGCTGAATAGATTTAAAAATTCTCCTGTTGACTTATAAATACCTAAATGACCTCACATCTCTCCTATTTACTTCAAACTTATGTTCCTTTGTGGGCACTGTGATCATCTGATCAGCTGCTTTTAGTTGTCCCATAAACTAGGTTGAAGCTCGGAGGAGATCGCGCTTTTTCCGTTATGGCTCCTAAAGCTTGGAACAATCTGCCAACATTAGACATGCTATTTTTAGATCACTTTTAAAAACACATTTGCTCTCACTGACATTTAACCCAGTGTGAGTTGATTTAGCATTTTATTGTTCTATGTTGCTCTGTTCACTTCCTTATGTTTTAAATTTTTTATTTTTTCTTCTTTCGGTTGCTCTCTTCTTCAGGGGTCGCCACAGCGATCAAGCTTGCACAAAGACTTGGGAATTGTTTTTACGCCGGATGTCCTTCCTGACGCAACCACAGACGACCGAGCTACCACAGCCCTCTGTGTGGAGCAGAGAGCTGCCAGCTAGAGCGCCTGAGGGAGCAGATGATGGGGGTTAGCCTTGCTCAAGGGCCCAGAGTGGGGCAAATGTGGGTGGAGGCAGGTGTGGGTGCTTCACTTTTCCCACCCACATTCTGATTCAGTGGTTTGATCTGGGGGATTGGACCGACAACCTTCCAATCACAGGCTCGTTCTTTCTCTAACCTCTGTGCCACCCCTCCCAGAGTTTCTAAACTGATTAGTTTTATTGTTGTTTTTATCTCTGCCTTTGTTTTACTATTGCTGTTATTGGTCAGCGCTTTGGTCGCAACTTGTGTTCAAATGTGCTTTACAAATTAATTGACTTGACTTCTGCAGTAAATCAACGACTAAATCTATATTCTGAAGATTTTCCGTTTTTTGAAACTGTCTCTCTACCACAGAAAATCACCCTCATCATGAAAACATTCTCCGCCCAAATATACCTCAAACTTAGGTTGTCAAAATCGTTGAGCTAATCCTCTAAATATGAAACACACTCCCACATTCACAGACACGAGTGCAGCCAAAACTCAGAGTGTGAAATCAGGCAGACTGTGGTCCTGAGCTCAGACGCCAGGCAGCTCCAGTTTTAATATAATATCAATACACCATTTGGAGCTGCCTTTTGCTGCCTACCCAGGTAATGGTAATTAATGGGAGTGGGACAGTGCTGACACAGCAGGTTCTGCTGGGACTAAGATCAGGTGCAGACGAGTATTAATGGTTCAGCTTGACGTCCAGTTGGACTTACTTAAGGTTTTAGCGTCCCTGGAGGAAACGATGGACAACTATTGCTCGCCTAGTGCTGAAGATTGTTTTATCCATTTGAATTGATTCAGAATCAGGCTGAGGGTAAAATTAATATGAAATGAAAAAAGTGACACTGATACAAAAACCTCAGCTCTAAAATATAATCACACATATAGACTTTTACAAGATGGCATTAAACAGTTTTTTGAGTATTTATGTATTTATCACGACATTTGATACAAAATGGTTCAACGTTGAGGGCAAAAAACTAAGAGGTGGGAATGTAAGCTGTAGAAACAGTAAAACAACGTTCACACACTCAGCTATAAAAAAATATTGGTTTTCAATGTTGTTTATAAAATATGATGTTCAAAATATAGCTTAATATTTTGTGGTTGTATTGCGATACATGATATTTATCGCAGCATTTATGGTTGAGAGCAGAGAAATAAAGAAGTGCTGTTGGAAAGTTGTAGAAAATAATTTTAACATAAAAAGAGCTCAAATGTCAAAAAAAAAAAAAGAAGAATAAAATTTAAATGCATTACCTTTTGTGATTATGACCTTAAACTAATTTTATCCACCACCAGGTACAATGGAGGTGCCAGGGGGTGGCCAATGGTGGCCTTTACCACCATATATTAATTAATTTTCAGCCACCCCAATAATTTGAGGAAACTACATTTTTAAGCAATATAAAAACTAGGAAACATAAGTTTGTCAAATGATAGATGTGGTATGATTACACACATTTTATATATATATATATATATATGGTGATGGCCATCTTGAATTTAGATGCAGCAATCCAATTTTCCAAAGAAATCTTTCTTACTGCACTACAGTAAACACTTTAATGTTTTTGTCTACATGTGACCTATTTCAGACCTTAATTGTTGGTTTTTTTATATTCTCTGTTTTTTATTATTATTCTCTGTTTTTTTTATATCTTGTGTTTCTTTATACTGAAACTCTGAAACAAATTTCTTGTGGGATCAATAAAGTTCTATCTTATCTATCTGAGACCTTGTTTACACAATTTCGTTCCACCACATGTACCAAATGTGGTGCAAATGACAAATAAAACTCTGACGCTGACTTTCACTTAGAAGTAGCCACACACCAAAATGGAAGTCGGTACAGTACTTTTTTTCCAAGTGAACACTTGTACAACATGGCCGGAGGGTATTTCCAATTTCCCCTTTTCACTCTACGACGGGGACAAAAAATAATGTCTCATTTTCTTTTTCTTTATGAACAATGATTTGTGGTTTTAACTAGGGATGCACAATATTATTGGCATGGTATCGGTATTGAACAATATTAGCAATAAAGTTAAATATCAGACACCGGCCATTTCATCAAAATGGCACTGATATAAAAGGCTTCTGTTTTAAGTTCATTTTTAAAATAAGAAACTGTCAAGTATATCTATTAATTTATATTTATTAATGCACTACTACTTATGCACTTTTCACTTGTCGCTTGTGAACAGGTTGAGTTTAGATTTGTGAAAATTTACAAATTTGCACTGTTCGAGTCATGAATAAATTTGGCATTAAGCATAATCCAAGATGAAGTGTTACATCATTTCATCATTACATGTGCATTTGGTAGCAGGCCAAAGTGACAAAGACCATGCAGAATAATGTGGTATTTTAATTCCACAGCAGAGAAACTACCGGTATATAGTCTCTGTAAGTGGGTCTAGGGGAAAAAATATTGGTATTCGCATCGGTTATCGGCCAAATATATTGGCATATCAGATATCGTCCAAAAATCCAATATCTTGCATCCCAAGTTTTAACACAAAACATTAAATAACTGAAGATGAAACAATAAACCAGCAAAAAATCTGACACAAAATTAAATGTTAATCTTATTCCGTTTGTTTTGGCATTTGGAGTAAGTGTTGGACACAAAGTTTGAAAACGACTGACTTTTTTTGTCATTAGCTGTGGCGGCCATCTTAAATTTAGTTCAGTTGTAGATGTGCATCCACTGATTACTTTATTAATATAATTCAAATTTGTTTAACAGTTCATAAGTTATTTTGCTGATAGGCAAACTCACATGAATGCAAT